AGGGAAGGCATTGGGAATATTCCCATGACAACGATATCCAGATCTCAACCAATTTCTTTTAATTGGTGCCCTTTTGAAAATTGCATGAAAATCCACCTATAAATATATGTTCATACGCGAAACTGCTATTTCCCTTGCAACAACATTGGATTTGCACATGAAAATTGTATGAGAATCCACCACATTGAATTCTAAGTATATTTCCGAAAATACTGTTTTTACAATAACCGTTTCCACATTTCTACCAACATTTAACGGATTGTTTAATTGATGGCCACCCTCTTAAGAAAATTTCATAGAAATCACCCGTAATTTGAGTTATCAAATCATTTTCGAAATTGTCGTTTCCATGGTACCCGTATACACATCTTGATCAACATTTACTGGTTCGTCCTCGTGTCAAGAGTTACACCTGACATATTGATAAGAATTCATCGATAACTGCTAACGCCACCTAAAACATAACCTCCATGAAGTGAAAGGTCGTAGACAAATGATCGAGTCTGGCGTCGGTTTTCTGTTATAACGTACTGACGATAGATTTAAATATCTAATTTGGTTTACTTTCTCTTTTTTTCGTTGGTCATTTTTATTCAATTTTGTAACTTGTACCATTCAAACTGCAGCTTTTATGTTTTACTGTGTGTTGTGGGTACAGGAATAATCGCTCCATGTACGACTAGAAGGCATTCCGAGACTGAAAACGTCAATACAACTGCAAGTTACCACGACAACCAGATCTAAAACTCTCCTAGAAAATATAATATATTCATCGTTACCATAATGGCACTCGTACGTAAAAAATGCCAGTTATTTTTCTCACAGTCAACAAACCAACGCCAACAAAACAACTTCCTTGGTCGAGGGAATAACATTGGACACAACAATAGGTCTGCTATAGCGCCACCAACGATACGAACATTTTTTTGCGAATTGTTAATGAAACCTTGTCTATTGATGATATCATTAACGTTTCATTGCGTGACGTCACAACGTCTCAACCAGTGCATTAAAACGTTTTCGATACTTGCCCAACGCATTTCTGCGGTATGCACGTTACACCGGTCACAGGCATCCACTTAACAGCAACTCTCACAAATGCGAGTCTACAGTTCATACTATCCACAATATTACAGTGCTTCCAATACGGAATATCACGTGGACAGTTCTAGTTTCTTGGCGTTGATACAAGTTTTACTTAGTCATGGTTGTTCATCCCATGACACAGTACGTACCTCGCATCGTCTGTCACGGAGAGTGGTTAACTCAAAAAATAAATTACATTGTGAAATGCCACCAATATATCATTTTCTATTTTTATGTTGTCTACCTCAAAATGCAATCATGAATGTCCATTTGTAATACAGTAACCTTCCACAAAAGTAGGAATTGAGGCATGACCAACCTAATTAGTATCTAAGAGTTAATAAATTACTAGCTTTCATTTTCAGAGAAGATTATCTAGTGCCTCCAGTGCCCCGTTTTAATTGTATATACACCTTTTCAGCTTACAACTATTTGTGGAGGTTAGGGTGTAGGTTAGTGGGTTGGGGCTCTTAAGAAACTCTTTCCCATTCCATTACGTATGATATGAAGTTTTATTGGCAAATGCTCGTAACAAAATGTGCGAATGGACGCAGAATTAGGACTCGTTCCAACACAAAGATATCAGTGACCTTATTTGTCGGCTATAGACAACATACTCAATAAAAAATAGAACATATTCCGACATTGTAAAATAACATGTGCCCTGTAAAATATGTTACCTTTCAATGTACATTTCACTCACCGTGTACAGACTACAAATACCCATAATGATTACTAAACCTGTGATTACGATACACACGAAATAATTGCAAATCAGTTACAGGTGATCCACGAAAATTATGTGCAGCAATTATCGAGTCGTAATTCAGCAAAACATCACCAGTCACTAACACAAAACCAACACTCTGGCCAAGCGTTTGGTTAAATATCATTAGTGTAGTTTCCCTTAAAACAGCAGTTTAAATATTATAAATATGGTAACAAAATAGACTTGAAAGCTGCGGCAATTAGTTACACAAGGTATACGTAGAGACGAGGTGGCATGGTTTCGTTGCACAAGCCAAGTAGGAAACAGCTTTCCACCTAGGCCTACGCAACGCAGGTGACCCAGTTAGTGACCTTGCTTCGAATGGAATATTATATAGTAGGAAATTATAATCAAATATTCAACACACATCACACGTTCACTGAATGAAGGATGAACTAGGCGCATTAAATAAAAAGCGTTTTTTTCTCTAATATCAGTCGCCCTCTATGGTGACAAGTAAGCTCAGCTGCACACGGATCGCATCAGCATTTACGTAGGTCTACAGTATAAGTAGTAAGTTTGACAATACAGATATACGTATGTTTTTTATTGCTACCACAGTTCATGTAATATTTATTAAACACCCGCTACAGTAATAGCAATTTTATTAACTACAAAGTCCATTTGCGGAATCGCGAAATTTGAGGATTACTGTCGATGCGTTTTGTCCACTAGTGCAGATAGCTGTCGTAGTCGAGTCAACAAACACTATACATTTAAAAATATATTCAGAGGTTTTGTACACCAAGCCATTAGTTGTGTGCGTCATATTACGTTATTAATTTTCTGAAACAAACAAAACACCGGTAAATTAAAACTAATTCACGTATACCCTGCTTACGTGGGAGTTATATCTGTAAATATCTGAAAATAACAAATTTAAATGAAAATAACAAATATATCAGAAATAACTAAAATACCATTACAGAGACTAACGACCGACACAAGAGCAGCTCTTGCGTACATGATGATCGGTTGGCACAAGACCAGCATAACAACATTTTATTCGGAGCATACACACACCGTCGCGTAGTATGTATCGATTACTAGTATGCAATGATCTAAAAACAAGACATTTTGAACAGAACTTTTTTGTATTCCAGCAAAATATATCAGCGTATCGAAACCTTGTTTTTTTCACAGTTCTTGAAATTATAGGATGTTAAATCAGATATTTCCCGCCAAATTTAAATCGTCCACCTAGTTGTTAGGAAGCAACGCGTACTATGCATATAACCAAACTTAACCACCGGTTACTGGAAATGCCTCAGAGTTGATTCGTCCGTTCTCTGGCTGAACATTGGTGTAAGTCGGGAAAATTGATAACTGTGCATTTTACCAGCTATTCTCTTTATTCATGCCTACTGACCGAAAAGTGTCTTATGACAATGAAAGTGAATAGTTGTCTCTAGTTTCCAACTATCTGTCTCAATATTTTATTATCAATGGTCACGTCATAACAATTAATATAAAATGCGACCAAACTATTTTCAAATATAAGCTATAAATTTCGTCTTCATTTTAATTTAAATTTTTGATAAATAGTTAGTATTCTTTTTAGATTTCACTTTCGTTTTTCCAGTTTAACTCTGATTGTTGGATTAACTTTCAATTTCATTTTTACTTCCATTCAAAATTCAAATTTCGTTACCAACTAAATACATTGATCATTTAACCGTGAACACTCTCCTGATTGTAAGAATTTTTATTTGGTGCTCATTTTGTTCTTATTTTTCATCTTAGTTGTTAACGTAAATTAGACTCTTTTCTCAAAACAAATATCTACTATTAAATTGTTTTTAAAATGTCACTTTTAATTGCAGTTTTAAGTAGGATTTAATTTCACTTTTAACTTTTGTGAATTTCGCCCTGCCTTTGACATTTATGATACGATACGATACGATATATTGTTGGGATAATATGTGCAATCTTAATCTGCTAAAAGAATGTTGCGCTGTAACACTAATGCATAGCGTACGATGACGGGTCTGACCACACCGTAACAATGGGAATTGTTCTGCTAATTATGCAATATATATACATAGCTTGATTCTGTTCGTTCCACAAGTTTAATACTATCATACGCGACAAGTAATGTACAGTCTCTTCTTATACGAGTATCGTATTTTTAGGAATGTTATAGCATTGACAAACCCGGCACATCTGCCTCAATCTCGCACCCCATTAATGACACAATACCAATAGTTGACCAAGAAAAGAATTCACAGACACTCCAGTATTGAAAAGAAACCATTGACGAGTCGATGCTCGTGTGTAGTAAAGCTCACATCCATCGAACAAATCGTACTTGTATAGTTATTTTGTCTTTTCAATTGTTTGTATAAACATGACATATTCATGACATTCAAGTTCAGTCTCGTATATGTGAATACACTAATCTATTTATATATTTAACAATAACAGCAATGTTGAATACTCTTGTTTAATCAATATTTGAATATAATAAATAATTTGAGAATTTTCTGTTTTACAGTGTTACTTTTAATGTATAAAATGATACGCAAACTAGGGTATATTTCATGTGATTGACTATGCGATGATCGTGATCCATTAAATCTGTAAATCCAATTCCAATAATTGAAGAACGATTTTCAGTTATATAATGTCGTCTCAGCATATTAGGTACCTGTTATTATTTGAGACAAATGTGCGATGGTTTGGGGTCATCAATAAAATTGATGCTAGACATATACACTATAGTTACAATGATTGATGTAACAGCTTTGGCAACCTAATGCATATCATACATATACATAATGTATATTGAGGTAAAGTATACGTTTACAGCCAATAAACAATGAAATTATTTGATTAATTAGAGGAAAATGATGTACAAAGAACACTGATGCCTTGTATAGGACTAAATATTGATTTACCGATCAGTCACAGCAAAAGTAATACCAAAACAGAATTATTTCGTGGCATGCTTTCAATGTATCACCACTTCTTCATGTAAAACTGGTATATATCTGCTGTGTATTTGCTCATTTGAAAGTACACAATACGATGTTCAAAAATCCACAACATTCAAAATTGAAGTGACGTTGACAACTTATTCGTATGTTACGTGTGTCCAGGCTGGGTGTTCACAGGCAAGCGAGATCATCTTCATTTGATGCAGCGATTAACCAATCACCACAATTGTTGTATCACCTTTAGATGTAGGAGTGATATCAACATTTCTGGCGACTAGTCCTAACTTCTTTTTGACTTCTTTTTTGAAAGGTCCGTGCGAAAACGAGTATATGATCGGATTGAGGACTGGGCAAACACCATATATTATTAAAGTTGCTAGTTTAGCTTTTTGCACGGCAGCTGTATCACCGAAGTAGAACCCATACAGTCGTGCACCCACATATGGCGTCCACTGGGAAAAGTACGCACCGATAACTACTCCAAACGTGAAAGCCGTTTGGAATTTTTTTACATCGTGTGTTCGTTTGTGAAAAACTGCGTTATTGACAGCTTGGATTTTTTTACGTTGGTTCCGAGCAACTTTAATCACATTATAATATACGATATTAATTGTTAGGATACAGGGAAGGAAACACGTAATTGAAGCTACTGATAGGTATGACATGGTTTCCACATTGCGACAATAGAGAAGACCACATGTGAGCTCGTAAGGTACATATACGTAACGCCCCCAACCAAACAGCGGAGGTGCTGCCAGTATATAGCCAAAGATCCAAGACGCCAGTATCAAGCGTTTAACTCTCTGTGGCGTCAACTTTTGGTGATAATGTAGTGGGTGGCAGCACGCATAATATCGGTCAAGGCTGATAAGAGTCAAGTTCATCAACGATGTTAATGCCAATGAATATCCAAACCATCCCGCGAACTGACACACGGCGTCCCGCAAAGTTTCATCTTGCGTTACGTACAACATCACGAACACCGGCGTGATTATAACTGCAAGTGTAAGGTCGATCAGCGAGAGACTAAAGATGAATTTATACTGATTACCTTCCAAATTCGGAGATGTAGACAGGACGTAGATAACGAGGCCATTCCCGAAAACCATAATTATTGTCAAAATTAAGTAGATCGAAAAAATGAGACGATTCACCTCCGGTGTCATCACATAAACCTCGGTCAATGTACATATTTCAAGTGAGATATTAGACATCCTGTAGCTGTACGCTGTGAGTGTTATCACGACTTCTGTCTTTTATAATTTTCAACTAGAAAACCATCCGCGAGACTCGGATTAGAGTATTCTCCGTTATTAAATGACGATGTAAATGACGTGATATACGCATGCGTATTTAACGCCTTTTCAGTGGACAGCGAGTAATGTATTGGTTATCACATTCAAGAATTTCCAGCAACGTGTGCAACGATCTTTAGACTTTTACAAAATTGCATGTACTCGTACACCAGCTGAATGTTAAAACCACGTAAAAGCGATACAAATTCAAACACAATAAATAATATTTTAATGAACAAAAAATAAAAATAAATAATAATAATGTCAAATCATTTATTATTATAATACTCATGCTAAGTTAAACACATTGTGTCAAAATCACAGACTCACAAGTCAAGAAGATATTTTTTTCGAAGTAGCCCACGAAGACGATATACATTCTATTGTAAAATATTTAATCTAAAACAGTTAGGAGTGATGACAGAGTTTCTTTGCTTTGCCTAACTGTATGGGAAACTAAGTTTCAATTGCTGATCTGTTTAATTTAGTAATGAATTTATCCTTTACCAAAAGTGGTTGCATCACGCGCTAACACTTACGAGGTAACTTCACTACTGAGAACGTGCCAATAAAAATTTCGTTATAATTCAGGTCGACTTTTGTGTTCAGTCACACATAGATGTTGGCAATAATATTGGTTAGATAATGTGGATGATAACTATAACAATTTAACAGATGTTTGTGAATAAAATTAAATCCAAATTTATCTACGAGTATTCGTGACTATCAAGAGGAGAGAAAGCTTCCTATCTCGCGTGTGGTAACTTCGCAGTTCAGAAAATTGAAACTTCTTTTTGAATACATTTTTTTTTCGGAATGTACGCAGTGTTTGCCATCTGGGAATGAAATATGAGGTATGTACATATAAATGTTCATCATATTTTAGAAGTTGGAATATGCATTGAACCGTGAAATTAAGTGCGTTCTACTAAATGTCACTATTGATTGCACTCAAAGATCATGAGGTGTGTAATATTAACATTCAAATCTGAATAATGTAAATTATTCTAATTTTATTCAGCTGTTAGCGAATTCATATGTGGCTTACGTGTGTAATAAGAAACGGTACTCTGAACAATGAAATAATTTAATTTAGCTTCCTCTGTCTTTAATTTATAATTTAAATAACAAAGTTAAAACCAAAAAACTATGTTAACTAACTAAACTGGCGAGAAAGATGAATTGACAAATTTCATGATATGTACATGAAATAGTATCCGTATTGGTGAGTAGAAACGTACACTGTGAACATATCACTATATGTCCTGCACTAGTTTAATTATACTTTTCATTGTCTTCTTTTGTTGTTGATTTTATCCTTACAGAAACCCAACAATAAAGCTTATTGTATGATTATGAATGCACAGTTTGGTGTAATACTGTAGGTAAAATTAATAGTGAAAGGAACAGCAGATGTATAGTGGCGTATGAAACGAAAATTATCAAATAGGCGACTCTTTGCATTTGCATACATTCTCAGAGATTTGCCAAAGGTAGCTCTACATTCCGAACGAAACGTAAATGTATACGTTGAACAACCAGAACTATTCGTGAGTTTCACTATCTTAGATGAAGTTGTTTTTGTTTCTTGTAAAATAGAACATATTGATAATGTATAGTGTGGGTGTTTTGTGTTGAGATACATCGTATTAGAAATATTCGAGAATCAATGTTTTTTGTGGAAAAGAATATGACCATCGATCTCATGGACTTTTACGTACTAAGCGTTTTCACCAGAACCGTATATTCAGTGCATTATACGAATATTATATACATGTATTTAATATAGAGGTGACAAAAAACACATCCGTGAATAAAGTAACCCATTCATCATTTGGAAAATCTTTAAAATCGATATCATTTACATCAACAATATTTATTTAGAAATGGTGTACACTGATATATCAATACCTGTATCTGACTAGTATGTTCTGAAAATTATTCTGGCCGGCATTGAATTATATACTTTTTTTACTGGAATTGAAAAACAAGATACTCAAAATAGATTATATTCCCAGAAAATGACATCCACTTACATTATTCTTCTCTCATTTTTATATTTATGTTGTGTATGAAAATAAAATAAGGTCGTACCTTCACTTGTCCTGTTTTCACATTCGATTTCACACACTAATGCAGGGTCTCGCACAAAAAATATTTGCATCAAAAATTTAATAAGCTGACATTTAGGTTACACTCGAAGAACACCTTCATTAGTAACCAAATATCTTATTGATTATTGCCAAGTTCACGAATGACACATCGAGGTACATTCGAAGCAGTACAATACATCAATCTTGAGGCAATGCGTGGTACAATGTAATTTGCACCAACCATACCTAATTAGAAACTGAGCTCACATGGGCGACTTTTACAGTTGATGGTAAATAAAGGATCTCCAATTCGTGACCATTTAATATCTATAATAATAACTTACTAGACAAATTTAATAAATCCGATATCACGCGGTCACGAATTGATTATATACAAATCAATATATTTAGAGAAACATTCTTAAAATTCTACTAACTTCTGTGGATTTGTTCAAATTGTATGATAAATCGGCGACGGGTACACTGGGGAAACTAACCCCTTACCCTGTCATTCTAAGATTACAAACAGCAAATCTGTATGTTCGACTTCAACACCAATACGCACTTAAAGCCAAATTGCCAAACAAATCTAGCAACTATGTAAACGTTTTACACAAATGTGTACAAATTTTTCTTAACATACGTTCAGTTTGTATGACCGTCTGTTAATATCGGGCTTTCACTCAACTTTGAGGAATTTCTCAAAAATATTACAAAGTCGTCACAATAACGAATTGAGTGCATCGGCCAATCAGATTATCGCATACTAATATAGTATGCAAATATGTACATAATTAAAGTGATGCCAGGTGATAGCGATACAAATGTTCGCAATAGTATGTACTATTTTATTGTCCACATCTCAATGTCTGTGCACGAAACAAGTACACGGAATAAACCGGATATCAAGGTAATGAACCTACAATACATAGTTTATTGAAAGTAAATTACAAAACATATAATATTTAATGAATCTGATATTGTTATTCATGAGATATTTTCTAGTACAATGTACTATTTTGGAAATATTAAATGTGTTTCAGAAATAGGAAAAAAAAAGAGCCCACTTGCGGTGATTTCCGGGTGAGCAATGCAGTCTCCGGTAGGCGTGCACACAATAATGCAATGTCTTTTAAACCCAAAGACAGAATATTATGATACCTAATTTGTTGCCAAAATTAACGGTGATTTGCATTTGTTTAACAATCTGCGTTGTCAATGTACTTCTAAATATGGATCATAAATTTAGCGATAAGTAAAATAAGTATGTTAAGCATTGAACGATAACTGGAATCTATAATTTAATTGCGACCTCAATAATATTTTTAATAGTTTTCCCGAGGATAATGCAGGCAGGACTTTATTTTCAAGTAAGAGCGAGAATTTCCATGTGTATGCATGTTGTTTTGAAGTGGGTCATGAAGATACAGCTCCTATTGTAGATTTGTGTGACAGTTGTCATCTTTCTTGTCACCTATGCAACACGGGATCGTTTGATTTCCCATTATTCATACCCAAGGGTATTTCATGGGAATATTTAGTTTACTCCGATAACTACACAACACGAAATGCTCGGTATTATGTTGTCTACGAGTAGAGCCTGATCGGAGCCACGTCCGTCTCTAACTCCAACTGTTTCTTCAATTACAAGCAAAGTAATATATTGCAAAAGCCATCCTTCTGAATTTACGCTCGCCAATCCCATTGAAATGACTAGTACCCATACTGATATTAACGCATAACCAATCATGGCCAATTCTGTTAACATTATTACTAGCATATGACGTCATATCCGAACTCGTCGCACTGGGACATTACTCGCTTAAATTTACCGTCAAATTACAATCAGATACGTGCCCATAGCAACCAGCGTTGCCAACTCACGCCATGACAGACATTGTCTGTGGTCGTCAATTTAATCCATCATATTAGCACCGATATTGGAAAAAATAGTCATTGACAGCAGGTTGTCGATAATCATAAGTGACTCGTACTATAATGAAAGCTGTCTGAAATTCATACACTTTTCCCCAAAAACCTTGTGCGTGTTTCTGTTGAGAATTGTCGCTTGGCATTACGAATATACGAATTTAATAATAATTAATGTTATATGGGCTTAATAAAATTAAAAAAAATAATGTCGACATAATAGCATGTAATATCAACAAATATTGTGTGACACGACGACAATAAATTATTAAATATAAAAAAAAAAACGTTTTATGCTAAATCATGTTATACAAATTTAAGTACGTAAGATAAACTTATTCGGCCCCAGTGATACACATGAAGATCTGCCGGGAGTTTCTGAAAGAGGATACATATCCTGCGCAAGGCGTGACACCCGCAATATATCAATCTCAGTAATGATCGATTAGGTTGTGTATGACACCTGAGATATACATCAGGTATATAGCCATTCGAAATCATATTTATAATGAGCGCCGTCCTACAGACGACGTGCGGAGAACATTATATAAGTTAATACCACTCT